GTTGATCACGTGAACAACTTTCTGTAAAAATTAACAAAAACAGTTTTTTTTTCAAAAAGTTTGTTAGCACAAAGTGAAAGAGCATTTTAAAATTAGGTAACCTGTAAATTTCAGCTGTGAATCTCAAAAGTAACGATTGCAACGGCCACCAAAGTTTGTATGGGAAAAGCAAGTCTTGTCACCCAGTCACGCTTGAGTGGTGTTCCATACGAATCCATGTAAATTTCAAAATTTTCAAACCGTTGTAAAATATTTCCGTAAGCATTACGGGGCTCAAATCTCCTTTTTATTCATAACAGGCAATGTGAGCCCATTAATGTGCCAGGGAACGACATGTTTAAATTTTCAAAATATACAAGGATTTGAATGGAAAACCACTCAAGTGTGACTGGGCACCAAGGGTACAGGTTACTTAAGAGGGTCTGGATGGGTGGGGCGGGTACAAATTTCAGTTGTCAGTTAATGATTATTAATAATTAACTGTGAAACTTATTTGTTCATGTTTGATCCTAAATTTAGCTAAAAAGCAATGTTCTTACCCCAGGATTTTCTACACTGGGGTCCACCCATAGAAAAGCTAAGAGGGGGTCACGAGGGAGAAAAGCGGGTTACAGTAAGCTACAGTATATTAGTACATCATTCGAGATGGCGGAGTTTCAGAATGCATCATTTTACACATGAGCATGCGCAGAAGTCGTTATTTTATGGCCCCCGCTAATTGGGTGTTTTCTAAAGATGCCATAACCAATTAATGTTTACGTACGTTTTCTTTTTACTTGGGCGTCGCCCAAATAGAGTAATCGAGATCGCTTGTTATGAGTCAAAGTTGCAATAGGCACGCAATACTTGCGAACTTAAACAGGCCAAGCGACGCGAACGACTCGTATAAGGTAAAAAGCATGCCGGAAAGAAAGTTCCCACAGCGTGTTGTTGTTGTTTTTTTTGTTTTCCTTCTTTGCGCCCTTGGGACCCCTTGGGCTAAATATAGTGCGGCATTTCCTGAAAAAGTGCGGCAATGCTGCAATGCCGCGGTCTGGTAAGAACACTGGAACATGGAACATATAATGTAAATTAAACATTAAAAGCGAAAACTGATGCAAAAGTACCTTAATTTTTATCGGTTTTGCTATTGAAAGCATTCCAAGTGGCCCTCCATTTCCCAAGGCTTGTGTTACTCTAGTCCACACAAACGTTTTTGCTGGCCAGCGTCCAACATTTCCAACCATTAAGCCAATAAAAATTTATACCTTTAGAATATTGGGACGTAGATCATGAGAAAGACGAAGAAAGACCGTATCTGAATCCTCTCGGGAAAAATTTACAATTGCTTTTATAACACCTTCATTAGAAGCCAACGTGTATGCTGGCGCGTTCTCGGAGCAGCGTAAATTTAAGATCATAGGCTATTTCCAACGGATGATCCATGACACGTGATGGGTGATGGGTTTTACGGTCGATAGATCATTGAGGAAATTTGACACTTAGGCGTCCTGCTGCTAAGATTATCCATATAAGCGTACATTTGATCACATTGTCTGACGAAAATAACAATAACAACAATAACATTTATCGTTTGTATTGCGCCTTTTCTATTAAATATTCAAAAGCGCATCACAATAGTAATTAATAACTAAATTTAACAATCTTTCTATCAAAAATCATAAAAGTATTTACATTAAATGAGTAAAGATAATTACAAATATAGATATAGATATACTAAGATAACTGAAATGATTCCTTAGATAAAAATGTCTTAATTAAAGTCTTAAAAGATTCTAAGTTCGTTGCTTCGCGCGCGGACTTTGGCAGCTTATTCCATAGGAAAGGAGCAGCTACCTGGAAAGCTCTGTCTCCCATTGTTTTCTTGGTTTTCGCACTTGGTCTTTCCAACAAACGACCATTGTCGTTGCGCCTCAAATTGTAGGATGAAGGCTGTTGAATACTAATTAAATCTGAAAGGTACTTAGGTGATAGGCCATGAAAAGAGTGGAACAATACTATTAAAAGGCCTTAAAAACAGGTTTTGTAGAAAATAAAAGACAATCAGGTCGTTTGTCAGTTGACAGTAAAACCCAAGGCAAATGTCTGTTGTCGGTTAAATTTTAGGCGATTTGTCAGTTGTCAGTTAACCCCATCCAGAGACTCACTTAATTAATTCTTGGTTTGCACATGACGTCACCAAAAATGAAACTAAGAAACTATGTTTCTACTTTCACGAGGTCAGGAGCCGATTACTTAAGTAATCGGCTCAGCTGACGAGGTATTACAGCACCTAAACACCTTGATATGCAGTAATCTGCATTTCACACTAATAGCCGGAGAAAATACCATATGAGCTGGCTCGCCGCCATGTCGTCCCTCAGTCCTCCTATTAACGAGATAAGTCAAGGGGAGCGCTAGCCTACGGGCAGGCTCACTTGCCGGCTGCAAGTCTGGGGAAAATTTTGGCGGTGGAGCCGCCGCCCGCGAGGTACTGCCATATATGGGCTATATAGGTATGTGCCGCTGTCAAGGGTATGGTTTTCAAGCAGTTTACTCTAGGATAGGGTAGGCCTAGATACAAATATCGCGAAAAATGTTCTAAATTTCTTTCTAGAAATTCTCATAAAATTCCTAAATTTCTTTTGAATTTAGTCTAAATTTCTTAAAAAATCTTCTAAATTTCTCAGAAATATCATTTTTGTCTAATGTTAATTTGACCCATTTTTGGCTTCATATCAATTAAAGAAATGAAAAAAAAATATACATTATTATTTGAATAGCAAAAGATGTATATTGCAGGGCATTCTCTTCCTCTTTGTTCTTGTTCACTCGCCTGTTCAATTTCCACTTCGATAACTTCCGCCATGTTGACTGATTGATTCCACGTGGCGTCGAATTAATTGGTAGGTACTTTGTATATGGTGCATCTTATTGTACTGCAGAATAAATCTGCTGAATTGGTAGTATCGCTGGCTCGTAAAAGGACACGAAATTAATATAAACCGTTTTTTTTTGTTCTTATGAAGTATCTTTTTTGTGATAATTGCTCTAAATATCACTTTTTTTTCTAAATTTCTCAACATTTTCTAAATTTCTCAAAAACTTCTAAATATCTCAAAAAATATCGCGATATTTGTATCTAGGCTTA